TATAAAAGAAGGAGAAAAAAAAGGGGGAAATCCACAAAAAATTGAAATTAAAAAAATAGATAAACAATTTCCGGACTAAGGATGCGTTCCTTTGGGAGAATCCGGATCAGGATTTCTGATCTATGGCGTTCCTTTCGAGCAAATCCATTTTCAGACCAGTGATTGATCAGGTCCACTCTGGACAAGGATTTATCGAATCACTGATCTGCGCGATCTGAAGACGGATCATTGGATCGTTGATCCAACAAGTTCCATGGGGCAACGGATCCGAAATTAATCATTTTTTTCCCAGCGGTGCTCAATTTCAAACAAGTAGGTACCTCATATATTGACCGGAAAGATTGTTGGTAATCGCTCCACAAATTCTGCTATAAACACAAAATACAATCGATTTTTTAATGTTAAATCGATCGGCCACTGATCGCAGGCATTTAGGGTTCCCAAGTACCCATATTGTAATCATTACTTGCTATACAAGTCATAAGCGTGCCTCAGAGCATCCTTAGTAACATAGAGACGGACGTTCTCAAGTGGTTTGTCTTGTTAAGAATACGAAACAAATTCTTACGAGAGATATTTTTTGCTCTCGTTTTCTCTCAAAGGGCAGTCGATGTAGCTAGCGAGTGGTTTGCTTGATCCCTTGCTTTATTGTTTCATTGCGATTTTTTTGTATCTCAACATGATTCATTGATCAAGTGCGGGCTGCTGTGCGATTAATTTTTTGATTCGTTTTTCAACAACTAGTGCTCATGTGGGTCGTCATCAGGAAGAGTACAGGGGCGGTGGCATGATAATGCATAACTTCTGCAATGTGTGCAGAAAAGCGCCCATTTACATCGCGTTTTTTAGGCCAGCTTTGCTCGTCCTGTGAGTATAGATAAAAAGTAGTTATACTTTCGTAAAAAGTGCTTATTGTAAAAACCTAGCGGCTGATATACGGGATACAATATTTAATGTGACTTTCTTTCCACTTAGTATTGCTTCCCATAATTCTGTTTTGTAATAAATCAAGGAGTGTCAGCAAAATTTAAGGTAAATGTCAATTAAAGTCAATCCGTTATAATTGCACGCTTCAGGTATATGCACTCGCCGTATATTGTATGGAATATTAGGTATTTACACAATGATTATTTGCTGAATCTGATACAATAAATAACGTAGAGTTGAGTCCGCTCAGTTTAATTTTCCTCCGTCTGATCTGGACTTTGCTCTTTCCCTTTTGTACTTCATTCTCCTGTTTTGGAACCAGACTTTAACTTGTCTTTCCGACAGGTTTAACTCGTTTGCCAGCTTCATTCGTTTTAAACCAACCACGTACATATCCACTGAAAATTCCTCTTCTAGTCGCTCTAACTGCGTCGGCGTGAACGAAGTCCTGCTTCTCTTGGGTTTTGGGCTGGGGAGACTTGGTCGAGTCTGCGAATGAGCAGATCTTGGGCCTAAAAGTATAACCATTCAAAACAGTCAAAGCAATTTCAAATTGAATGTCGTAAGTATACGGTATTGCATAGGATTTACCTTACCACGCACTGTGATTGGTCCTAAAAGAAAAACTTGCGTCTCACTCTCAACTAATCAGATGTAACAACACAGCCAATCACTGCTTGGTCACACGCATTTTTTCGCGCTTCAGCAATTTACTTGTCGCTACTCTAACGTCTTATTGGCTCCTGGCGATATTTGCCTTAATTCTTGTGATAAATTCGTTATGATTACTTTGGTATTGATTTTGCAAAACGCAATCGAAGTGCCCTCTCTTGTGCGTCATCGCAAGAAATTACAAGCCTTAGAAAGGGCGAGGATTGTTGAGCGGTCACGATATATCGGATTTTGAGCCGAATAGTTGTTGTGGGTATTTTTCAAATACCATTTATTTCAAAAGATCCCAGGATCAAGACAATTTGTATTTCCTTCTGTAGAATATCACTCAGTATATTACAAAACCTACTCAGTATCGAGGTGGCGAAGTTATAGTTATTGATCTTTGCGATATAAGCTCAAACTGACCTAACAAGATTGACAAGATTGGACTTATCTCAAACGCTGTGATATCAGTGGCAACGCCTTGTTTTTCACAGCAAATACCTCTCTATGAAAGGTGGAAAGTTTCGAGGCTCCCGAACCTCTTTCACATCAGCGAAGTTTAGCGAGAAACTCTTTCATTTCAGAAATGTTCTCTCCGTTTTATGCGAGAATAAATTCAAAGATCGTCGCTATCATCAATCTGTTAATTCGGTTTTTAGGATTTTGTCTGGCATTTTTTCTCCACTTTTCCAATTTTGGCACACTAGAGAGTTGCAGGTCTTCCTTTCAGATAATTTACGATGCATCCTCTTTCACGGTAACCTCTTGGTAACTTTGTGCGGAATCATTCAGCTTCTCTTTGCGTACAGTAAGTTTTAAAATAGAAAGGAGAGAGCGTGTTTCGTCTTCGTTTTTAGAATCGTATCCAAAAAAAATCATAAAACTTCGGTGAATGTTGACCGTGGATGTACTATTTTAATTTTAAGATACCCAAAGAGGAAATAAATTCTTTTTTCTCAATTCGAAGATTTTTTTTATCTATGAAACAAATAATTACCGATGTTTCCTGTCTTTATTCGTGATGTGCCAGCCATTAGATATCAAACCGACAGAGAAACACGAGTCCATATTTGACTCAGTTATTACAAATATCACCTTTCTTTCCCTTTCGGGTTTGGTGACAAAATTTGACAAACGAAGGAAATGAAAGCCATGTTTGAGTTCTTATTATATTTTTAGTCCAAAGAAACCTCAGCGTTTATAATTTTCGTGTTATCGTGAGTTATCATGAAGATCGCAAATTCCATTTTTATGCCTTAAACCGCCATAGCAAGATATCATCCTATGGCTTTGTCGCTTGAAAATGTGTCGCCAAGTGAATATCGCGCGGCGAAGACCTCTTGTAGAATGATTAAAACCTTAATGATGATTTCATGCTGGGTGAAAATATTACTTTGCGACAAATCATGAATGATTTAGTAGCACAATAAATAATGGTAATAAAGACAAGAGTGAGAGAATTCCAATTTTTTTTTTAAGATCATTATTCCTAAATCTTTTTTTTCCTTCTGTTTTTTGGTTAAGTATTAGAATTTCTTTAAACAAGTGTACTGTGATAACAATTTTCTTCTTTTCTGAAAGGAAGTAACTCCATTTTTGTCTTTGATGATACGTTTAAGTGTCTTCGGCTACGAAGTAAATAACTTTAACTACTGCTAAACGTTGAGTGGCCTTTAAAAGTCAGAAAAGGCAGAAATTACCTGGTTTGACTTCCACCACGTTCTCGCCAATGTTCGCCACAGGGCGGGGATCTTCGTGCGATGTTCGTGAATGCGTAAATATTTGCGAGCTGTAAACAAGTCTTTGGAGCCCCACAAGCGAGTCCCTACGAGTTCCGTCCATAGACACAAGAGGAGGAGGAGATCGGCGAGGCTTATTTTCCTCTCGAGTTTGGTGTGTTGCAGAAGTTGGTATGGATTCTGATGCGCTGGACTCTTGCATTGTTAGTTTGTTTGACAATGACTTCGGCAACTGACAATCAAGACTACGCGGGTGGACTCGCACGGACGTAATTTTTCTCTTCGAAGGTTGGTTGCGCAAATGAAATTAGCTCGATACCTTGAAAAGAGAACTTCCTTACACGAAGGTTAACACAAAGCCATGCAAGTTAACTTCTTTAAAATCCTGAGTTAAACTTCACGTCAAAGCGCAAAACAAAAACCTCCGAAGGTCGTGGTGTTCCAATTACTACTAAAATGTTCCTTCCGAGAGTTTTCATCGAAAATGACAAGTCTTTAGTGGTTTTGTGACCCCTTATTACTCCTGGCCTTATACATTTTTAATAAAGAACTTAAGCTTTTCCATCTTGCTTCATTGGGAAATGACTTATCTAATTTTTTCATGTATCTTTTTTGTTATGTCTTTAACCGATTAAGTACTTTTTCTTCTTTACTAATGGATTGACGCGCGTCGAGTTTTAAAGCGACGGTATCCTGGAAGTCTCGCCACTTCAAAACCAATTCAAAATAGAACACTTCTCTAAAATTGTTAAATAATCGTCGTTGTACACTAATCTTACAAAAATGCAAAACGCCCTAAGTAGACAATCAACATTTTCATGCTGTAATTATTCACGCTAAGCGGGAGTCTCGGAAACCTTGGTTGTTTTGTTGATTAGTTATTATTAAGAAAACTCGGGAGCCAGATTAGGCACAATCATAGCAAACGAAAAATAACAAAACTATGAATAGCTCCTTGTCTGTCTGAACGCGGTAGAAAAAAACATTTGCCCCCAGTTTCTTAACTCAATGACATACAATGCAATGGGAACCTCAATATTGACTTTATATTGACGTTCGGTTCACAAAGAGAGATGACTTCAGCAATATTCAACAATATTTAGTTACTTTCATTAATATTTCAAGAGTGAATTCATTGTCACAATGTGCTTGTAAGGATAACCAGCGTCTAAATCGTTATTTACAAGTCTTGGAAGTAACTCGCTAATTAAGTGAAAACGAAATTCCTTAACAATGGAGGATTTCTTAAAAGATTTCCCTTCAGAACCGAGAAGACTTCCGCTATCTGCCATTGACTCCATTTTCCCCAGCAAACATTGGCTTGTACCCGTAAAAGCCTACATTAGTGAGAGTAAATAGCTGTCAAGCGAAATAAGATTCTGAGGAAAAGCACAGATTTCACTGATTAGAGATGCTTGATTACCATTAGTCTTAATGGTCCTCCTGCTCCATGGGAACTCAAAGTTTCTAGTGATTTTGATAAATGTTCTGTAGATTGTCTCTTGTTTCCTGCGGTGCGTACTAAGTAAGTTAAATTCTCGTCTTGCAATTGGCTGGAGTTAATTTGTGACGTTTGAGGTTCCATCAAAATTAATTGGTGGTGATTATCAGAGAGTCCAATTTGTGAACGAAGAAAATTTCTGATACAACATGCAACCAAATTATGGCCTATCATTTGCCCCGCTCTCGCCAGCTTAATTATCGTAACGTCTGTATTGAAGGCAAATATAAAGCATATTTACCTTGGCTTCGGTAAATATCACGATATTTGACAAAGAAGATGTAGTCACAAAGTTATGTGTTCAACAAATCTCCTGAACAAAAACTCTTGAAAACTTTTAAAATTTTCAATTTCTCTTCAAAAGAAAGACCGTTCGTGGACTTTGATAATTACTCGGCTCCAGTTGCAAGTCTTTTTAATTCTATGTTATTACGAATTTTATTTTAAAGCGTCTAATCATATTTCGAGATTCATCTATTTTTCATGCGCAAAACTGAAGAATTGCCTCGGTAGTGATCACTGAAAGAGTCGCAAGAATTTCCTGGGGTAATTTTAGCTCTGATTTTAGCCTCGAAAATTATCCGGCCACATTTCGAAGAAAAATCGAGTTACTGGCAACATAACAATGAAAGTAATAAAACGGATAACATAAAGACGACATTGAACAATTCAGTTTTAAATGAAATGTTAGACCTTGTTGGAGGGCTCGGGATCTCCGCTATTTGTTCGAGTATCCCTGCTCTACTAGCTCATCAACGATGTCTTACAATTTATGACCCCTTGGAAATAAATGATTACGAAGTTGAGTCAAAAATTTTTGCTTCGGTAAGTAATGCAATGCGAATAAAAAACATATAATCTATTGAAGAAAAGATTGGAAACATATGAATTAATTCTGCATGAAGAAGCAAAAAAGCTTGCCTGAAACTCATTTAACGGTTTATTTTCATTCATAGTTAGAGGGTTAATGGAAAGTTGCAGTAAAACAGGCGCGTACTCATTTATATTCGGTTTGTGTCTGACACTTTCACTTTTGTAATTTTTCTACTCTCTGATCATGAATTACAGACATCAGAAACATCAGTCTAAACGCAATTGTGCTCTAGAGCGACTCTACGGCGTGCATATTTGTGGAGTTACACCCTGGAGGAGATAATGAAGCGCTAAGAGCGCTGCATCCCTCGGAAAGTTTTCTCTCAAGGGGATCTGAAATAGCATCAGGCACGTGTTCCAGGGAACAGTTTTATATATCAATACTTGGGAAAATATTGAATTTAAAGGAGTTTATATTTATTTTTAGAAATGGTTCAATTTTAATCAAACTTTCATTGATTGAAACAGCGTGCTTTATCGGAGACCGAATGTAAAAATGAGGTAAGGTAAATTCAGTAAGCTTGATTTCATAGTACACAATATTAGACAAATTCAATTGAAATTTGAAGAGGAACCTATCAAAAGACACATTCATTGTTACTAATGGGACGACAATTTGCTATGTCAAGTAAGGTTTCGTTTGCAAATGATGAACTCGACTTCACACCTCAAATTTCCCAATCCTCCCGCTCGATTGAAACTCTACTGCCTAAATTTATTTTTTGACCTTGAACATGTTACGAATTTCATTTTAAATTAACATACATACAAACTCATCACTAATGCAAGCCTTAACTGAATGGTGGAAAATATCAAATTTTCAGTGATCACCCGGATCTTCTCAGGTTCGTCTAGCTTATTTAGTGTACATATGACGTTTCATTTAACAATCATTATTGGAGAAAATTCTAGGTTTTTAATTATCTTCATGAGATCTTTTTTGGATGGCATGTGACATGTGAAACATGCAATACAAATGAGTTACAGTGGGAAAGCTGCCCAATTTAACGCAGCAGCCTGTAGTTGGTATTGTATCATAATGAAAGGAACCAATATTCCTAAGATATTTTTGTTCGAGCGATTCCCTTTAACCACTTAAAAAGTCACTTTTTTTTTCTTTTTTATTAGTTATCCACTGTAAATATGTTGCATCTATAAATGTTTTATAACGTTCGTGACATTTGCGAAGTTTTTAAGATGTGCGTATACAAGCGCTTCACAAAAATTCAGGAAATACGTGCATATATTATCATGCGTCTGCTCTTCTTCAGATATTGTTCTTCAAAACAGGTAATCCTTAATTTAAATATTTAAAGCCATTAGATATTTTAAGCTGCGCCAATAGCGTAGGACCGGAACTTGAAAGGGCTTCAATTCATTTGTTTAACAAGTCGCAAGGTGAGTTGATTTGCAGGCAAGTTTTTGTGTACTAATTTCCAAACGTAAATCATTTAGACAGTTCAGCTGTTTAGTCTGAAAGGAATTCCCGCTTTGATATTGGCTCCTTTGTTTCCTTATACGGGAATCTTCGTTGCTCGACACTGTCGACCACGTGACTAGAAGACGTATGCGCGCGTTTTGACGTGCGCCGCAACAACACTGCAGAGCTGTGAGGAAGAATAGTGTGCAGTCTTCTTTCAAATGGCTATTCTTCAGGTAAGGATTGACACTATTGAGTCGATTCTTTTACGTTATCTTTTTTAATTAGTACTTGTTACTATTCTGTATGTTATGAATCCGTTTAGTTAATGTAAAGGGTACAATTTCAAGTCGAAAATTTGCATCTCATATGTAAAGAAGTCATAAGTTGAACGACAGCCTCACATAACTGGACTAATGATGTTTTGTTGACATGACTTTTAGTCTGCTTGAATCGTCAGTTCTAAAACGGGAATTTGTGTGAAACGTAACTTCAGGTATAGCACACTTTCAATGACAGGAAAGACATCGGTTCATTGCCCTCCTGTTTGAAATTTTTTCTCTAGTTTCATGAATTCTCAAGGCTAATCATGTCATTGTGAAACACTTCCTTTTATTTCAGTCGGATGTTTGAAATCTACGTCAAGCAAATTACGTTAAATTGTGGTAAATGTTTTACTACTGGCCACCAGCGTAGTACAAGTCTATGGTATCAGTTATATTGTTAACTTCAAGTGAGGTTAACACGCCGTTATTAAATGATAATTTGCTTTTTAGGGGGACTCGAAGCTGTTTCGTTTGGTTTCAGACTCAAAATATAATAAGATGTGCATGAAAATATTTTCGAGAGAAAACAGCTTTTGAATTTCTGCTTCTGTATTAATTATGAGGTTAAGAATTACAAGACAATGTAGTTAAAATATATTATATCGATCTCTGTGGTTGCTTGCTTGTGTTTAAAACACCTGTTTACCAGAGGCTATATCAGTGAAAGTTTTCCTTCGGAAATTCGATAGACTTGTTCGTTTAAAGCCCTTTGACGCGTCTCTTGATGTCGACGGTTATTCTATTATTAATTTGGTATAAATTTTTCTCAGTCAAACAGGGAGAGAAAACTCAAGCTTCAAGATCTGAACACGTTCATTACATGCGAACTTTGCAATGGATATTTGATCAAGCCAACGACGATCACGGAGTGTCTTCACACATGTAGGTACCGCAGGGTTTAGGCGATGATTTGTATATTCAAATGGAAGATTTGGGCGCGATCTAAAAAATACATCTTGCGTTGTTTTTCTCTGGTTATTCACAAGCAGAAATACGAGTCGATATCTAGATTTGAACACGAATATGGGTCGAAAAATATCATAAAAGTCTTTAATACCAGCTTGTCATTTTATATTCTCTCTGTGTTGCGAAACTGCAATTCAATCGTAGAAACCGAAGGGAAACATCTGCTTGAGTTTGGCACAGACGACCATTTTCATTGTTAGTTTAACTTCCGAGGATGAAGTGTTCAACAGTTTGTTTTTGTCGCATAAAAAGATTTTTATTTACTTCTGGCTTATCCTTTCAGGTAAACACTCTTTAAAAGGCGGGAAGAAATATCAATTTTTGCGATGTTTAAAGCGAGTTTGAAATTCATCCTCTTGCAAATGCTACGGCCACTTGATAGA